CTGTTTTTTGTTGCAGAGGTGTTTCAGAAAAGAAATGATCTTTCTGGACTGGAATTTCAAACATTTGCCTCGCGGGCAATGCCGCTGACCTGTTCTTGTAACAAAAAAAGCCCCCAAGTCGTCTCTTCTTTAAGCCACAAACTGTTTTTTTATCTACTACGATGCTGTATATGATGTATTGCTATTAGCAAGAATGTACGCGACTGATAATAAAGAGCCATTCTGAATATCCAGGGGAAATTATTAATCTGCAATAGGCCTATATATAGGCTGAGTATATACTCACACTGTGCTGTATATTCTATTAACTTACGTGGCCACCCGCGTAGTTGCTATTACTAGATTGTGACAACCACAGGGAAATCCTACTGAAAGATGTCGGGAGGGTTAACACGTTCGCTAGCATGAAGTCAAGAATTACACGCGTTTTTTCCCCCGTAGATGATAGCATGTGAGGCTAATCGCTCTCTAAACCATTTACAGACATTTATCCTACATTAAACGGAACCAGCGTTTCCTCTTTGCGACAACGACTGTGATACGTTATGTAAAACATGTGGATCTCGTCCAAAAAAATACAACTTACATATACATACATATTCTTTTCTTTAAATATTATTTTTATTTATGCTTTAAGTCACGTCGCATCAAGAAAGAATCCCCCAGAATCGGTGAAAATACAACGTTTCAAAAACAGATTTCCAAATGTAGGTCGAACAGTTAAAAAAAATGGTCAGTGATGTAAGTTTAATGCGATGTTTTCTTCCTTAGACCTCATTCCAATCTCTTGACTGGTTACTGATGAGTTAACCGGTGGTCATAACCGTGCCCAAAGCTATAGCCTGGTGCGTAATGGCTCGATTCGCCTGTAGATCCATCCTGCGCGGCTCCCGCACAAGGGCAGACAGCGGACGGTGACTCAGGAATTCCGCCGCGGCTCACGTGACCGCCTCGCCTTCCCGGTGATCCTGCTGTTTCGTAAGGCCGCGGAAATTGTTTCTTGCATATCAGGTTTTGCAACCCCCCAAGGTAAACATTGTGAACGGAGGCGTGTGCGTCGTATCGCCCCTCGGTGCTTATCCTTCCCACGTTTCAGCCCTCTTCACCTTCGAGTTTCAGCTCGATCGGGCAAATAAACATACGCTTCTGCTAAAATACCAATTGCCGCTTAAAATCATAAAAGTAAGGTAAAAACGCATTGTGCGTACGACGATTTCATCTGAATGATATCTCAACATGTTATATAAATATATCGTTTACATCTTTAATTTGATTACATTGGTTTTTGCATGTTTTCAATTTTTTACCTCGAAAGCTACTATATGAACAAGCAAAATATCAGTTAGATTTTAAAACGCCTGTTCAAAGACGTAATACTCCATATAAATATTTATTCGTATGCTTCAAAAGTTAAGCCTGTTATCTTCATATCAAAGATACAGAAGGTTATATGTTAGCTATTTTAACCACAGACACGTGGTGCATATTACGTGATAGACTCCCTGTGGTACATTATGTTGTTACCGTTGCATTTGTTATGATTACATTGTAGCCTAGATGTTCGATGGAAACCGTCATGTTCTTCTGTTTATATAATAAACTATACCCATTCCCAACAAAACGTGACAGGCAAGACAATCGCATATAAACTGCATAGTTGTCTCTGTCCAGACAAAAATATGCACCATTTGTTTGGTTGCCGTAGAGTCCAGCGGGCTGCAGGCGGTACGCATTGATTCAGTAAGTTACACCACGTGACGCATAATATTCACAGAACTGTATTGCAAGCTACGTAGGTCACTTTATGTGTAAGTTAAACTGACACCCTGTGACTTGTGTTCTCGATTATACCTGACTCTGCGGTTTTAACAGGATCCCTACAAGGTCGTACGCGGTCTTTCACCTTACCCTGTACTATTACGTGTATTATCTTACTATACATTGGCAACAGACGTGTGTAGATAAACTCCAAGATGATTAATCATTGAGCCGATAAGAGAAACTGGGTCTCGGATAAGTGCAGTGTTCCTAACGCCCTAAATCAAGACACGATCAAATTGACCCAGACAGCAAATTTGTAAATGAACTCAGTCATTGAACTGAACCATTGGCGCCCTATTGCTCCAGAAATTAAAAGCAAATTTCGCAAGACATTTTTGAGAGCAACTTAAGTGATTTAATCATCGTTGTAGTTACGTCGATAATATGTTAAGTTGCGTAACTTTGAAGTAACTGCAGCCACGAACGCAATAGGCACGTTACCCCGAGCGTATTGCATCGGGGCATTAAGAACATGTAGAAATACGTGGGAAACCTTGCTTCCACGTACCCGACAACAAAAATAAGCAATCACAGACACTAAGTTATTATTACAAGGTCAGAAACTGTATTTGGCAATTTTTAACAAGTGCATTACAAGTACAGCTAGAAGCATTTCAGTTTTGCCAAGTGCTCGATGAGTAGCATTAGTCACACCTACGTTTAACAGGAACTGCCACCAAACCTAAAAATACATCAGAAACTGCTAAAACATCAACAAAAGGAAGTAGTCCATTATAATGAGTACATACCTTTATCTTCGAAAATATAGAAACACAATGTATTCAAAAATCAAAAATTATACAGCCATGTTTACGAAGTATACACTTCCCTTGTGTCCAATAGGCTATGTACAAGTCCGTTAGTTTTGTTTTGACGGTATGCAAGTGACATATTTATATATATTTATATTTTTAGTTTTTTCTTTTTTCAAAAAAAAAAAATCATTAAAACAAAATCAGGGGTCCCTCTCCTTTTTTACTTTAACATCTCCTGCAAGGATGGTTGTTATTTCACCTTGCATGAAAGCCCATGGAACATTCGAGCCCACTAATGGACACTTCTCTCCGCTCGGACAATACACTTCGCCGGTAGCGCCTTGCTGTTTGATGCTCTCCCTGGAGCACGGGAAGCAGAACTTGTGCGAGGGCACAGACGGGCACTGGACGAAATGCGTGTCTTCTAGGCGCTCGTGGCACAGGGTGCAGCAGAGGGGTATGCTGTTGGGCACCGACGAGTCTGGAATGCTTTGGGGGTGCACTTGGTCTATGCCGGGCACGTGCGGCGTCCCTGCACTGGACACGTCCCTCTGGGCCAGTCTCCTTTGGCTCATGGAGGACGGCGAAAGGGGGCTGCTGCTGTTCCTGCGGGTGGTGGAGTGCACCTGGTTTGCGTCCTTGGGTGAGCTGTTTCCACCAGCGTTGTCAGCGGCTAAAATAAGCGCCGCCATAGGAGACTGTCCGTTCTGCGCAGCCTCCGGCGGGGTGGTGCGGGAATGAGGCGATATGGTGGAGGGCTGTGAAGCGAAGGTCGGCGGGGGTACCGGGGGCATCTTCAGGACCTCGGCAGGCGGTTGTGCCCACTGTCCCTCTCCGTTGTGCTTCACAGCCGTGCCTTCCCCTTCGGGCTCCGGAGAGGGCTTTCTCTTCATATTCCGGGGATGCTTTCCTCGGTCTGGTTTATACAGGAAGCAAAACAGCTTATTAATAAAAGACGAAGGACCACTTAAAGGTAACGTTTATGATGCATACTCAAGCTTTATAGAACACCACATAAGTGCATTTTGGAAATAGACAGGAAATAAGAATCGAAACTAAAATATGTGTGAAACAATGCAATACACCATGAGCTGGATCGCTATTATATGCGGAAATAGCCGTTAGCACGTCTGAAAAGGAGGGGGGTGACTCATAGTGCGTCTGTCTCATTCAGAAGGGTTTTGTTAGAAACGAAAGCCATGCTGTCACTTCTGGGAGTCTATCACTGAAATATTTACCTGGTTTTGAGGGGACGGCGCCCGTGTCGTAGCCCATTGCTCTCTGTTGGTCCTTTTTGAACCTGTTGTCGAAAGGGTGGAGCGGTAATAAGTCCCTTACGGTTTTGCCCTTATTCATCCAATCGTCCGGTCTGCTCTTGTGGCCCTCGATCTCCGGTGTCAGGCTGTCTGGTCTGTGCTTGTCCTTCACCTCCCTCTCATGCTCCGTGCTGGAGACAGAGGCCGGTCTCTTGCTGCCCAGTTCGTTAGGATTCGGAGCCGATAACGCAGAAGGGAGTCCCATTTGTCCGGGTCTGCCGTTGACAGCGTGTACAGAATGCATGTTCCCATTAACCAAAGGCACTAAATTTGGGGGCACCGTGCTTGTCCTGCGTGGGTTAGGGCTCTGCCGGTTCAGCTCCGGGGGATCGTCAGGTTTGGGGAATCCATTTGGAATAGGAATTCCATTAGCCTGCCTCCCAGACGGATATTCTGGACCAAGTCTTGGCGGCCGATCAGAGGTTAGGGGATAGCGGTCCAGGGGCTGTGGTGGTCGTGATCCGGGATCTCCCGTCGTATGGTTGATGGACTGAATCTCTTTCCCCGAGAGCTGAGGTTTACCCGGTCCCGGAGATCTACCTTCTTGGAAGCCATGTGCCCTTTTTAGCTGCCGCGTAGTCTCAATCACAAACTCAATTCGGTCTGCTCCTTCGTAGTTGACACATCCCCTGCAGACGGGCTCGGTAAAATCCCAGATCATAGCCCACGGCATGCGGGGCAAGTCACATAAATAACATGACTGCCTTCTTGAAGCAGCAACCGCCGCGGACGACATCGCTTCTCCAAAAAATATTAAAAAACCTTCCCCCAAATGCCCACTGATTCTGTGTTACTCTTACACAAGCAAAAAACCAATGTAACAAGTTCAGATATTTCAGCCTTCCTCTCCTGACTGCTAGCAACAACAATTAAGTAGTTAACAAACAGAACTTCATGGCAGTGTGTACTTTACTACGGCGCGCCTCTATCTATCTCTCTCACTACTACTCGGCGAGCTCAATGTGGAGCAGTGACGTCATCGCCGCACACTAAACTTGCGGTTCCAGCTCCGGTTCTATTTACTTGATTCTTCGACGGCCCCCCTCCAGCGCATGCTCACTCACACAGACTCTGCCCCCTTTTTATTAAATCAATTGAACTTGTGCCAGGAATGCAAGCTCGGACCAAGATTTAAAAAAAATACTCGTTTAACGGTTTGGGAACGTCCGGATGCGTTTATTATTTTATCGTGTCTTGTTATGTTGACGTTTAATGAATATTCTATTTATATTCCACCGTTTAATGGACGACGCGACGGAGAAGATTTAGTAAAATCTTGGATGTTCATCTGAGTACGTGCTTATTTACTTGCTAACTACTGGCAATTGGGACGGAAAATGTTTTCTTCCTGTCGCACTCAGAGGGATGAGAGTGGAGGTTTATGCATAGGGAAGAGCTACCCTCGGACTGCATGAATGTTATTTCAGTTAATTTTTTTGTGTGTAAGCGGAAATCTTACATCTTATGTGGAATTACATTCGGCTTGTTATTTCTGAATGTAGCCGGGAAAGTGGCTAATTTTTTGGCGTCACACTGTATACACGAATTTAAGTAGAAAATCATTTTAAAATAAGCAAAAATGAAAACTCCTGCCGATTCGATTTGTTCCTGGTCTCAAGGTGTTAATACCCTTTAATCGGCTAGTCTCAGCCTGCTGGTGGCGTCACCAACCTGCTCCAGCTCCCTGCTGCAACACGCATGCTCACAAAATACGTGACTGTAAGTAATTGGCACTCCGAACCCCATTTAGCAAATCCACATTCCAGTCAGAATGCCAGCGCTGCGTCACACCTTATACTTGCCCCCCAGCCAACCGTGCATTAAACAGCTCATGTTACCAAGGCAGATTCAGTCCTTTCAACCGTTTCGGGATATTTAAAGGAGAAGTGTCTTGTTGTGTTTCAGCACGTTTTTTAATCAATTGACACTTAAACCGAATCCATTCTGTTAAGGCAGAAGTTTAGCTTTGCGCTTATTCCCAAGTATACGTTTTGGGATGCATTATATTATCTGTAAGTTAGAGTTTATTTTATAAGCAAAACTACGCTCTTCGATAAACTATAGTGGCAACAAATAATGTAATTTGTCACTTGGTAGTTTTAACAGTTAGTCTAAGTAGCTGGCTAGGTATGTTTCGGACATTTTCGGTAAAAACCCCACCCCTGGTTACGTTGAAAAGCAAGTGGGCGGTTTTCCTCCATATACCGAAAATGTTTTCCGCATTTATTATACAGAAAAGCCAAATATTTAGAGCTATGGTTTCGGCCAGCCGAAGTACGTGGGGATTTCCAGATGGTCTTTTTTTAAAACGCCACATGCGTCCTCCAGATTACCGCAAATTCACTTAACGGCTGTCACCGCCGAAACCGTGTCACCATGCGACAGAATGCAAAATAATGCATAATTGAATGATTGTGAAAGTAAAATAGTCTAAGAAATAGTTCTGTTAGTTGATAGCTATGCGAATTGTGGACCTTAAAACGAAAAAAAAAACCTACGCATTATTTGCCTTTGATTTGGGATAGACGTAAAGATTTTGGTTATGAAAACATTAACGTTTAAACCCAGGATCCCGAAACAGTACAAATGCGCACTGCATGTCCGCATGTGTAAGAGCGCAGCAGAGCCGAGCGTGGTCACATTTCACAGCCGGCATCCGTCATATCGCCTCCATTCGAGCTGCTGCGGAGTTCAAAGCGCACTTTTGGGATGTTTACACGTGTGTAATTACAAATGGCGCACAGACAGAAGGAGCCTGTCAGCCCGACACGGGAAATATGCAGCCAGTGTACAGACAGCACAAACACCCTTCCTTTCTCTTCCCAACAGAGAGGGAAGTCTGATCGCATGGTTACTGTTTGAGCTCAGCACATTTCGGTAGTAGTCGTTTGGATACTTTGTACGTTAACCTTAATTGGGGCAGGAAAAAAAAACAATCCATAATTTGTTTGCGTTGGACTCGGTCCAAGCGGTTGCAGCTTAACGTACAGTTCCTCGGGTGAGGCAATGCGTCTGAAATCTGCAGACACAAAGCGGGATTTGTTTTTGCAAGCCCTCGTGACGACGTTTGAAAGAGGAAGTTAGATGTTTAGTCACGTACCCATTTCTTACCTCGCCCATCCCTAGAACAACAAACTAAAGCTGTTGGCTGGCGGCCATCTATTCAAGGGCATGTGCAGATCCAGAACCCGAATTTCATAAATAGATATTTGAAAACCTCATGCTCCGCCTCCCACTTCTCGGTGTCACTTTCTCTGATACTTTTGTGTTTTTCTCTGCTAACTTAAAGCTCCTTTTACAAGTGCATAAATGCAGTGGTTAATGAAAGTATACGAGTATGGGTACATTTTGTGCAGCGTTGTCTACAGGACTGCTCGTTTACAAGTTTATTAACGGACACAGGAAAGAAACTCTTAATTTGGAAGGTCACTGATGAAATAATCGTTTTAAAATTATCATTTTCACCGGTGGTAATCAGAATGTGAATGTATTTTTTTTGTTACAGTATTTGCTTTTTAAAAATCACTTAAATGTGATTATTGTTTTTAAAAGAAAACATATATGTTTATTATGTGCATGTGGTTAATCATGAGCTAAACGGTATCAGAATGGTATTGCGTGATTCCTGAGTTGTATTGCTGTGCCGATACGACGATAAAGAGTGAAATGGCCTTTCTCGGTTTGAAATGACTGAATCATTTGTCTGTCAGACTTTTGAGTAGTTAATAAGTGAAAGAGAAACCCTTGTTTTAAACGGGCAAATGAAAGACTAGCTGTGCGGTTCCTTCACCTCTAGCATTATGCTACCACATGCGTTCACACGTGTTCCACAGCTCAGCCTTTTGTGGCGGCAGGGTTCCCTTAGACCAGCCCCTGGGTACCGTGGGTGGGGACAGGGAGGCACCTTTGGAAGTGACTTTGGCGCCAGGGAAAGCAGAAGTTTATATGCCGCTTACTATTGCACCTTCGAGAATCGATTTTGGATTTTAAAAAAGCAGTCAGGCCTTGTAATATTGGTCAGTAATTCAAATTCCATCCAGTTCAATACAGTCGTTTAACTGTTTAGACAGAAATTAAATCTCAGGAAAGTACTGCAGGATGCAATTCTCACGTTTAATGCATCGCGTGTAGGCTCTGATCCTCTGCACTTCTCAATACATGTATATAGTTATATACTTTTTTGAATTAATACTATAATTAACGGCCCTGTCTCCATGATTAATAATGCTGCCTGTCACTGCTGCTGTAGCGCTTCCTTGATGAAGCCAAATTTAGCTAGCAAAATGTTAATAAACAACAACAGATATATTTTGATTTTTTTCTCTTTTTCCCCAAAGACATACTCCTCTATGCAAACGATTATGTGGGGATACATTTTTTTGTGCCACCAAGCAATTGAAAGAAAAAACTTTTTTCTAATGTTTTTTTTTTTTTTTGCTGGTGGTCCAGAGGCCTGTATAATTAGTATAACACAGGGATTGCAAGCCGTATCCTAATTGAGAGACGTATATTTCTGGATCGAGGACCATGTGATATCTTGCTATTAAATCCCCGTTGAATAAAACTTAATACTAATAACAAATTAATGTCATTGTTGCAATGCCAAGTTTTATGATTTTATTAATGTTTTTTTATTTATCATTTTATAATTAATTATTTTTAAAAATACATTTACACAGGCGCCCTAGCGGTCCAGGTGGGTCATTGTGCATCCCAAACCTCTGCTGCTTCCTCAGATTGCTAATGCCCCTACATCCCCTCCAGCACTGCAGCCCTTAGACCCCGCCAGAGAAATGCATGCTCGCATTAGTTGCGCACTCGAAGGCAAATCGCATCTGTGCTGCCATCGTCCCTAACCCCCTGTCCCCGTCCGAGTCCGATACGCATTTTGCACGGACAGGAAGAAGCATCAGATATTTATATGGCAGGAGGATATCGAATTTTGGACGATGTGCCTAATGATGAAAGCTGCAAGTATCAAAAGGCTGCTTGCTGGGTCTAAAAGGAAAACGGCCACATTCCTCAAGCGATGTCGCAAGCGGGCTGCCGACGAACGCTTCCCCTTTCAGTGTCATGAGAGATGCTGGTCTGTTATTCCTCATCATCGACTGTATCTGCCACAGGAAGGCGTTACCATGGAGATCTCATTCTCGCCAGGATACCCCAAGTGACAAACCACATCCTGTTTATGGCGTTGATGCGATTTTGTAGACATCCCCCCCCGGCCTTATTTTACAACTCTGAGATCTGCACACAAATAAGGAAGTTCGATTTCTCAGACCACTCCCATTCAGTAAAAACAGTGAAATGATGCACGTATGATACAGTTTTTTTAAGTAACACATAGTGCATGCTTGCTAATATTATTTTAAGCACAGTGCACCAGCCCCCACTCCTGAGTGGTATCTAAACTAGACCGCAATGCCTGTTTTTCTGGCTCTCAATATTTCATAAGGCCTCCACATGAGCCAACACTGGGTAGTTAGTTTCTCTTTTTTTCCTTCCAGTTTACGTTGTCATCGCTCATAGTCCTTTAAAAGGAAACGGGAGAGCGAGAAGAACAGGCGGATTTCAAAGGGTCACATTGAAACGCCACGCAAGGGCGGCACATGTTTCAAAAGCAAGATCTCCAACCATGTGAGCTCCGCAGCTTCTGCTCTGAAAGGCCGCCTTATTTTGTTAGCTGGAAAAAATTCAGACAGCCCTTCCCTGAAAATAACTGTGTCCCTAAATGGCTTGTGCTGCACTGACAGCTCTCTGGCTCAGACTGCAACCACCACGGAGATTAAGAAGAGGAAAAAAAAAAGATAGCGAAATAACAGCGTGAAAAATTCTGGGTCGGCAAATTGGCGCAGGGGATTAGTATGCTAGAATGTGCGGGACACCCTAAATTCCGTTTTCGGCATTCCGCGGGGGCCGAGGACGGCCACGGCCTTCACGGAAAAACGCAGCCCCTGACAGCAATTATAAAATGGAAGACGGATTTGAAAAAAGAAAAAAAAAAAGGGGAAGAATCTTTTGGGGGGGGGGGGGGGGGGAGGTCGCGACTGGCCGGCCAGCATCTGGAAGCAGGAGAGGTGATGTCATTGGGGCAGGGTTAGGAGGCTAGAGAAAAACAAGTCCCCCCCCCCCCATTTTTTTTTTCTTCCCTAATCCTCTTTGCAGCCCTGGGGTGTTGGAGTGAGGGGGTGGAGAAATGAGGGAGGTGGCAGGCAGCCAAGGCACAGGGGCTGATGGGAAACGGCAGAGAGTGCCAAGTGAGCCTCGCCGCCAACATTAGACGCTCACATCTTTGTTCTCTGAAACCTGGTGTGCAGCCAAAGGCCGCATTTCAACCCTGCAGTATGATTACTCTGGATGGAGGCCAGCTCCCTCGGTCTCTCTCTCTCTCACACACACACGCACACCCTCCCCCTCCCTCCCTGAGCTCCCCCCACCCCTTTCTGTCTCCCAGCCTTCAAAGGCCCTCTGCCAAACATGCAGGGGTTGCCATGGCAGCAGAAACTGGAACAGGAAAAAAAAAAAAAACAGTAACGAGTTAGGCTTGGGTCCAGATGTGCCACATGTGTGAGGATTAACGATCCACTTCGCACACAGCTGCCCGTCAAGGGAGACAATCAGCACCGAACTGAAAAAAAAAAATCAGTTTTGCACAAATTATGAAGAAAAAACACACACCCAGAATATCCCTTCTGTGACAATGTTAAATAAGGCCAAGAGCCATTTGCAAATTATGTGGTTTAGCCAAAGCTGCTGGGACAGTTTCAATATTGATCAGGCAGCAGAGACACCCTCCCCCACACAAACACACCCCATTAATAAAGGCAAAATGGGGACATGGATTTTAGTGCTTTGTTGTTCAGGGTTTGCTGTGCGCACGTCTCAACAGTCTGAAAGCGCAGCAAAAGCCAGACCATCTGAGGCCCTGGTTGCCAAGGGGAATGACGGCACAGCCGGACACTTCAGGAGCTGGAACAACAGAACCGAGGACATGAAGTCCAGAAAGCAGCGCTTCACGTCACAAATTATATGTGAAGCCACATTCGCGTACAAAAGGCCACCGCAAAAGGGGATAAACCAGGCGCGGAAACCCTGATGTTTACAGCACTATTGGGAAAAATATTAAAAATAGTTTCCCCCGGATGATATATACTTTATGTAACCGGCTTAAGCTTTGTCTCCATGCAAGGTGAGGGTTAATGTTCTGTCTGAGATCTCTCTTAATGCCACAGGTCACTGCTTACTTCCCCTAAGCTGCCAGTTACCTAGCAGTGACATCTTCTGCTCAGAAGTGGGACCGGGTCAGGGGTGGGGACAGAGGGGACGTCACCGCGTTCCGTTTATACAGTCCCCCGGGGGGGGCCTTCGCTCTGAGATGGGAGAGCTGATGTGTCACCTCCGTGTGTGCTGATGCTGGTGGCCCCGTTAGGTGGGGGACGTGGGCCCCGCCTGCTGTCGTGCAGCTGTCACCGGACACCGTGTCCCCAAGTCGATGTCACGCTCAGGTGAGAAAGACAGCACCGGATGTGGTGGCAGAGCAGCCCTGTTAATTATCACCCTGAAAGTGACTTTTGAGTCTTGGTCCTTCAGAAACCCCCCCCCCACTGCAGTTTCCGCTGCACTTACTGCTAACAACCGTCGCTTCTGTCACCACGCCGACGGATTAATCAACAGCCGGCTATTGCCTTTCTGCTCCCGTGTCTGTGAGCAGAGCTGGCTGGGTGGGCAGAGGAAGCAGCTGTTCCGAAATGGGGGGGGGGGGGGGGGGAATCACTGCGATACGTGTCTGTGGTTCATCATCCAGTCGCACTGCACATCCATCTTCCACTCGGCAATTCTTAACCATCTTGGGATTTTCCGTTTCTCTTCCCAGCCCTGGCCAGCAACGGAGATTTCCTTTCCCAGATGCCGGCAGCTTCCGCACATGACACCACATGGAAAAGCACTCCTCGCAAACTCCATGCTGCCGTGGCATTTCCTGTGGGTTTCTTCCGTATCCCGATACTCCCTTTACTGATTTTCCCCACCCTCCCCCATCAAATCAGATTGCAGTGTTTACGTGCCAGAAGGTTTCTGATGATGTAAGCTCATTTGCATAAAGTATGATAAAACTTTGCGCGTCTCAGTGACATTTTTTTCTACGATATCACACAGAATGGATCACGAGAGAGAGAGCATCAATGGATTCAGCTCCACACTCACTCTACTCAGACTTCCAATGCATTTCAACATGGGCCTGAATCCAGGGGGCTGCAGGAAAAGCCTCATCCTTGCTGCTCCAGCACGAGTGACAGGTGTGCAGAGCGGCCTGCAGCGTCCTCTTGTATTAGAGGCAAACCCACTGACCCCCTTTAGCAACAATGCTACATATTTTGGACAAATTCCTGAAGCCCATCTGAGCATCTGTTTATCGCCCCCCCCCCCCATTTCAGCAGGCCTCTCACTACGATAACCTCACAGTGCTGCCGTTACGATTAAACTATTCGTTTGAATTATAATTGGGACCAGATGTGAAAGAAAGACTTTACAGAGCTGAAAAAAATGAATGAAAACAACTTCCTGAGCAGAATGTTCTCACGCTTTCCACGGCCTGCATTCTCGTGCAGGGATCCTCCCACTGATTTCTTAGAATCGCGCAAACTGGAAGTCAGGCCCAGTGACTTTCACGCTCTCACGTCTGGCACTTCATGGGTCCCTTCGTCAGCTTTAACGAACTTGTGTGCCGCAGTGTCAACACTCGAGCGGGGTTCCTGCACAGGCCTGCTGTGTGCTGTATTCTCTTATCGCTTGAAATCCCATGGTCACACCCTATTAGGTGCGAAACCTGTTTCACCTGCATGGCATTCAAGCCTGTGTGTGCCCAGAAAAAGCCGAATGTGTATTTCACTATCTGCTTCTGTACAGAGGGATCGGGCTCAGGAGCCATCCAGTTCTGATCCACAATGGACTTTATCCTCCTGAGACCCGGTCCATTCATTTATGTCCATTGTAGTGGACATTTTGTTTTTGCATCTTTTCACTGATGTAAGGAAACATATTTATTCCTGTTGTACACTAAAGAGGACATGCTGTCAAATTAAAAATAAAAATAAATTAGAAAAAATCTAAATTGTAAGATGTCTTATTTCCTCCAAAGACAAATATCCTAAAACTCAAGAACACTTTTTTCCTTGGGTCTCAGTAGGATATTTTGCATCAGGCACTGTGCCAGTCACCCAAAAAAAGAGAAGGACCCCAGCTTAAATACCTAGTCTGTATTCAATGGAATCAACGATAGGAGATCAACCAGTAGTCCTTAGATGGAATCACCCCTCATGCTTCAGCCAGAGTGTATGAGCAAATCGCAGTGCATATTTTGCACCCTGGCTGGAATGAAGGGTCATTTAAGGTCCCCGGTGGGTGGACCTTGCTCAGCTCTCGATGCCATACAGACACACTTCATCACAAATTGGCTGTCAAGGAGCACAATTTGACTTTGCCGTTCAATCACTCAAATCCTGTTGACACATTTTAAACCCCTTGCATCTTAAAAGTCAGTCAAAGGATTGTTTAAATGATTCCGGGTTTCTCCATGGGGCTTATGAAGGTTGACCAAAGGTTGACACCCAACCCCCACAAGCCGGCCCATCCACCTAACTCCCAAGCTCCAGATTCCTCCATGCCTGTCTAATCAGGTGGAGCGCACACACGGCTATGTGAAAACATCTGGCATTTTCACGTGTTCCTTTTTGCCTGGTCATGCTAATCTTGACATAGACCATATTTCGTCATTAATATTGCAGTTAGCACTGTTCCTGTTGAGGTTGGTGCTTTTCTTGTGCTGGTTTTGTTTTCTTTTTGCGCACCCTTCATATAGACCCTGTCATATTGCTCAAGCCCCCCCCCCCCTTAACTCAGCATGGAAGCACCAAGGACGTCAACGTACTTGGCAGACAGTTAATTCGCAGTGATGTGTGTCCAGGCAGGGTGGAGCCATGACTCAGCAAGGCAAACAAACCAAGCCAAGCGTGTTTTGCATGAGTGACTCAGGTTTTGTAATCAGGGCCAATTGCAGAAATGCGTGGTGCCTAAGCATGTGATCCCTGCATGCTCCGACAAAGTCTATCCTCCAAGGAAAATACACAGTGGCTAACCTGCTCCCCGGTGTGAAGGTGTGTGAAGATAACTGTAAGGGAGTTCTGCATGCAGGGAGTTGTTGTTGGCACAGAGAGAGCGGGAAACACGTCCTAGCCAACGGCTTCCACCTCGTTTTGAAAACAGATGAACCTTGTTCTGCACAAACTGCTTTGAAGGGCCCCTGAACAAGGAACCCGTTCTTGAGATCCGTTGATGGGCATCCGCGACTGGGACCGGTAGGAAAAACAACAAATGTGCTCTCACGCCGGCGTCCGGGCGACCGCATCATCTTCGGCACGGCCTTGCCGCCATGGATGCAGGGTTGAGGAAGGACACGAGCACATTATCCATGATGTTGGCACGTGCTACGTGTTATAATGGGGCCTAGCGGTTCCCATCCGACCGGCTAATGGGCCACGTTTCGTCTTGTAAGCAACTTTCTGCTGAACCAAAAGGGTCCGGATTGGCGGCTAATGATTCCCCGAAAGGCGGGGAGGGGGATATACAGAGAGGCTGGCCAACAACTTTGTGGTAATGCTGCATCTCCCTAAGTCTGATTTGAGTCTGAGGAATGAGGGGCAGCTCCTGTTGTGCCAAGAGATGCACCAAGGAAGTCGAGCATGGCGCCCAGGCTGGTCCTCATTCAGGTCATTAGGGCTCAGAAGAACCAGCCCCCCCCCCCCCCCCAGTCCTGTCATTCCACCCCCGCTGAGCCATACAGGCTCTGGAAGCCGCTCTAATGATGTTTCCCATCCCTCTGTGAGACTCGCAGCTCCTGGAGTCGAACGTCACCCCGCTCCAAGCGACCGTGCCGACGGTAGCCGGGCTGTTTGGTTTCCTCGCATTTTAGGTTTGAATCTGAGGAGGCTGGAGGGGGAAGGGTGGGGGGCCCCCCAGTGTGGAGAGCTACGCGTCTGTTTTAACGCTGACTGGGCAGTTCTACAGGTGGTGGTGTGAGCCAGACTATAACAGAATTTACTGGGAAATGTAAGGCGCTGTGTGTGTCTCTGTGCCACGCGGGTGTGCCCATACACCGGGGACAGAGCTCTGTGGAAAAGTACCACTGGAGAGAAGGCATTTATGCAGAGCAGGGTTAGGTAGATTACAGACAGCGTCTCCCAAATGAGGCGTGGCTGCAGCCCGCTACGTGGGTCTCTCTCTCTCGCTCCCACGCCCCCCCCCCCCCCCCCCCCCCCCCACCGTGCTCTCCCAATGCGCTTCACTGTTCTTCCTTCAGGCCAAGCACTGCGTGTTTTTTTTGTTTTCGCTTGCCGTGTCTGTGGAGCAGACGCTGGCGCGTGAGTCAGCAGGGCTATCTGGCCGTCTGGCCCTGGGAAGGATACAGGCCGCAGGCAAACTGCAGCCTTTTTCATTCTGACGACGGCTCTGTGAAAAGGAAAAGAAAAAAAAAAAAGAGAAACAAACAGAACTAACAGGCTGCTAGTTTCAGAGGCCTGGATTAAAAGAAGATATATGCTGTCGGTGCTGGGTGACCTTGAGTGGGCCCGTTGGTGACAGAGTGATGCAACGAAGAGGTTGAGGTTTGGCCTGATGTAGATCTGCTCCTTGTTTTTCGTCTAGTGAGAGAGTGCCTCTCTGCCATGACTGTGCCATTCGGGGGATGGGGTGGGGGGTTTGAGATTAGCAAACCCACAGCTTCTCTGCTGACCCCCCCCCCCCCCCCTCACTGTGCGTCAAATGTCAGCTGGATGCTAATTGCAACATGTCTTGCAGTCTGCAGGAGTCTCCAGCACTGATCTTTTATGTAATGGACCTGTCCTCTGTCACCCAACTGTGACGATTGAGGGGGGAGGGGGGGGGGTGACTAAAGGCTGTGGCACCCCATTCCTGGTCTGTTATGTGCTGCACCTGTACTGTGTTAATCTGGCCAGGAAGGACTCTGCAGCAAATAAACATGGGCTGACTGGTTGGACAGGAAAGCCAGCGGGGGGAGGAGCTGTGTTCATTTGGGGTGGGGGGGGTGTCATGCATGGGTGTGACGCTGTCTGCTTCCAGCGATGATGAAAGCCTCTGCTCACTCAGCAAGCCCATCAGCAATGTTGGCTCCCCGGGAGCACAGCTGACTGGCCGGTGGGGGGGTCCGGCTAGGAGAGGGGTGGGGGTGCAGTGGAGGCGCACCTCCATATGCGCTACTCATCTTTGAAAGAGAGTAAGAGCTACTATAAGTAGTAAAAATCTATGTAAAAAAAAAGCCAGACTACAGACTAGCGGTGATGTTAGAAATGGCGTCCGGCCCACAGGCAAACCCAAATGTGCCAGTCGCTCTGTCTGCACAAGCACACTTCATTTGCACCATGTGGGGAAGGTGATGTCATGTGACGGGCTGAGGGGTGTGCGGCATTCGATTCGCCAGCCTGAAGATACCCACGGGGGACGAGGGGGTGCGGCACTCGACTCGCCAGCCTGAAGATACCCACGGGGGAGGAGGGGGTGCGGCACTCGACTCGCCAGCCTGAAGATACCCACGGGGGACGAGGGGGTGCGGCACTCGACTCGCCAGCCTGAAGATACCCACGGGGGACGAGGGGGTGCGGCACTCGATTCGCCAGCCTGAAGATACTCACGGGGGACGAGTGGGTGCGGCATTCGACTCGCCAGCCTGAAGATACCCACGGGGGACCAGGGGGTGCGGCACTCGACTCGCCAGCCTGAAGATACCCACGGGGGGGAAGGGGGTGCCGGCTCAGCTGCCCGCTCCCTTTGTGCCTCTCTGCTTTCTCTGCTTCAGCGTGCTTCTAAGAATCCCTTTGTTGTTCATCCATCCCAGAATCCCCCTGGCCTCTGGCTGGGGAGCGCGGGGGGGTGAGGCGTTGGTGTACAACAATGTGGATTCTCATTTCAGGCTGTCACGTCCTGGAACCTGAAGCCTCGCTTGGCCCTGGCATCCAGGCAACCGGATCTTGTGAGACAGGCTGATGGGAGGCTTCACAGCGGATTGGGTGACAGCAGTGAGGAGCAGGGGGCTGAGTCTGCCTCACCTTACAGACCATCCAGCACAGAGACCATGACGGAGGGGGGGGTCACTAGGGCTGTCAGCGGTGGGGCAGTAACACCTTCCAAGCTCACCCGGGGATATATATATACACCCGCAGACATGTGGGGGGGGGGGGGGGGCACCCTTCTGTGTTTTCAGAAATACCCCCCCACCCCCCATCTCAAGGTGATAAATATAATATCCTTGTTTGTTTTCTAACATAGGGGCTCCTGTTTACACTGTCTGTACCAGAGTGGTTTCTGAAAAACCTAAAAAAAAACGGTGGTGGTGGGTGGGCGTTCTCTGCGGGGGTCAAAGGGCATCATGAGGCAGCACCGCGGTGTGTATCGGGGAACAGGAACAGCTGGGTCTCGTCGGCTGAGCCGTGTCGTCTTACCGGGCCGGGTCAGGCGAGGAGGGAAGCCGGAAAATCAAGTCTGGGCTCAGTGTGAGCAAGACAGACACACAAAGGCCCCCGTCAGGCATGAACACCCCCCCCACCCCTTGGGCGGACATCGACTTGTTCCCTGGACATGCGTCAGAATGCTGGCTTTCGCCGAGATGACCGGCCGGAATGTGTCAGCCGGGCCGTACCTATTCATGCCTGTGGGTCATGCCTGCACATCTGCCATCACTTATAGTCATGCCACCCACCATCTGAGCCTCCGCCCCCCCCCCCCTCACAGCACTCGGGTGTGAATAACGCGATTCAGCTCTGAGGCAGAATAATTAGCTGTCTGGATGAGACCCCTCACACACACACACGCCGCAAAATGACGGTAAACCCGGCCCACTGGAGTCCCACAAGGCACCGGCACCGCATCCCCCTCCCCCTGGGCCTCTTCCCTCCCAGTCCCTCTGCCGGCTTGGGTCCGGGCGGCTGAGAAAGCAAGGCTCGGGCCGCCGGCAGACCGGCCCCCCCTCTCCGAGGGCCCCTGCCTCCTGGCTCG